GAAAAGGAGAAGAAAACTAAAGTTGAAGAAAAGGAGAAGAAAACTAAGAAAGAAGAAAAGTCAGCTGAAGAAACTAAAACGAAAAAAGCTTCAGATAATGAAGAATCTAAAGAAAAATCAACAGATCGTCGACGTCGTGGTTGGGATAAAAATGAAGATGAAGAAAAGAAATCTGATGAAACGAAAACTACAACGAAATCATCTGATGAAGGTTGAAAGCGAAACATTTTTTTTGTGTGTATATTAATCTACTATACTAATCTATTTGTTTCTTTATTTTAGAAACCACAGATAAATCGACAACGAAAGAAGAAACAAAACCAACAGGTCAATCGAATATAAAATAAAAATTCGTTGTAACAAATTGTATTTTATTTCATTTTTAGAAAAGAAATCTGAAACAGCAACAGCTGGACGTCGAAGACGTGGTTGGGATACTGAAGAATCAGATTCAACTAGTAAAAAAACTAACGAAAAAGAGGCAACTAAATCTGAAAAAGCAACATCAAAAGATGAAGATACATCAATAAGAAAAAAATCCGATGCAGCTGATGAAAAAAAAGAAGAAAAATCATCAGAAGATGATTCAAAAAAGAAAACAGCCGATGCGAAAGAGGATGATAAATCATCTACAAGTGCAGGTAAATCGATAACTATTTATTCAAAAGTACTTCTTTTAAAAAGAAAAGTCTATATCAACTATGAATATTAAAAAAAATTCAGAAAAACATTTCTCTATGTCACAAAAGAAAAACATCAATACACGAAACGTCTGCTACTGTATAACTAGCATATTCAGAACTATGAATAAGAATAAGATCGAACAGATTTTTTTTAATTTAGTATCATTCTATGGTTTAATCTTTAGATAAAAAAGCTGAAACAGCATCATCTCGTCGTCGTCGTGGTTGGAATGAGGATGAAAAAAAAACTGAAAAAGAAGAACCTAAGAAAGCTGAAGAAACCAAAGCAGAAACTGCGAAAGAAAAACCTAAAAAAGTTGAAGAAACCAAAGCAAAAACTGAAAAAGAAGAACCTAAAAAAGTTGAAGAAACCAAAGCAGAAACTGCGAAAGAAAAACCTAAAAAAGTTGAAGAAACCAAAGAGAAAAAGGAAAAAGAAGAAACTAAAGATGAGGACGACACCAAAACAAAAACTAACAAAGAAGAACCTAAGAAAGCTGAAGATACTAAAGAAGAAGAGAAAAAAACAGAAACAACATCATCTCGACGTCGACGAGGTTGGGATGAAGACAATAAGAAAACTGAAGAAACTACGAAAACTGAATCCACAACTAAAAGTGAAGAAACCGAAGACAAAGATAAAGAAGCAGAAACTACAACATCTCGACGTCGACGTGGTTGGGATAATGCAGATAAAAAGGAAGAAACTACTGCTGAAAATAAAACTGAAGGATCTACTGCTGAAAATAAAACTGAAGGATCTACTGCTGAAAATAAAACTGAAGAATCTACTACTAAAACTAATGATAAAGATGAAACTGAAAAGAAGAAAGATGATGAAGATACAAAAGCATCGGCTAAACCGGCTGGACGTCGACGTGCTGGTGGTTGGTGATGATTTTATTTATTTTATTTTTTGGCATTCAATAACAGTATATGCGTGTTTGAGTGTGGTTTTATGCAGTTGTAAATAAGAAAGAGACTATCATCTCTTCTTTTCTTTATTGTTTTATTATTTCCTTTCTTTTTCTTTTTTAAATAAAGTCATACTGATCGAATTCACACTATTAATTATGATCATTTTAGTTAAATCTTAAAATTGATATCAAGTTAAAATCTTCTCTTGTTCAACTGAATGCAAAAATAACATTTATCATTTCAACGACGACATAAAAAATTGTAAATTATATACATAAAATTATAATTTTTACTGTATATTTCTATTAATAAATTTTCTGTTTTGGCTATTTTTGGAAACGATAGGCTTTACGAAATTCATCTTTTAATCTTTTTGTGCGTATCAAGTGTATATATCGATAACGAGGAAGAAAGAGACGTTGAGATCAAAGAATAAATGGACTAAAAGTATGAATACAATATGCTTTTGGAAAAATATTTAACTATATCTGAGGTCATTATCTTCAATGAGAATCGTTTGAAACAAAATTATCAAATTGAAGATCGGTTTTATATCTAGCAAAACGATCAAATAAATATTCATCAGTCAATATTCTATAACCAAACAATAGCATAATTCTATGAAATATATTCAATTCTTGATAATTTTTTTACAAGTCCATGTAAAAGAAACAAATTTCAAAACACGAATAATCGCTCAGTGTTGATGATTTGTCATATGAAAAGTGTATGTCTGATGGATATATAAAAGGCTTATTATCATCATCAAATAAATCGAAATCATTAACATGATTATCAATAATTTCTAGTTGCGAGTTTGATGAACTATTTAAGTGTATAAAAAGAATATTACAAGGGCAAAAAACAAGTACAAAACAGTGTACACGATAATGGCGTATAATACAATAAAATATACTTTCGTTCTGTCTTGTCACATAAGTATATTTACATTTGAATATAGCTACTACATATGTTAATAGTCTGTCTTTTACTTAGTATTTTGCTTTCTATTTTCTGCATGTTCAATCATAGACATATCAATTGAAAAGAAAGAAGGAAAAAGAAAACTTCGATGGGAAAATCGACTATACTATTCATTCACGCGCTCACCAGGAGAAAGATGAACCATGTAGATGCGCGATGAACACAATCTATATTTGTTCAATTAGATTGTTACAAGACAGAAAAAGGAATTCAACACTTTTCGTCTATTAATGATGGGAACATTACATACTAAGTTTTTTTTTCCTTCACTTTCGAATGAAATCACACCATTTCGAAGGTATATTGCATAAGGCAACACACTAGATTTGTATGTATACACGCTAGAACAGTTAGCATAGACAGTAAATGAAGTGCTACTAGTGTATATGTATGCATAGCGTTCTGTTAATATACCGAGATGATGAGTGGGCATTTATCAATGTTACATATTCAATAAGGAAAGCAAGTCAATAAAGCATATATTATTTGAGTGGATGATGAACAAGCTGTGAAATTTCTGATGATGCTATAATCATCATATGATTCATATGATTCAAAATTAGTACATTGTTTTTTCACTGATTTATTTGATTAAAGAACATAAACTTGAATTTTTCACGATAAAATACATATGAAAATCAAAAAAACATTAATCTTCATTTTTTATTTTTTAATCATTTTAAATTTCAATGAGCTTTTCATAGTTGAACAAAAGAGAATAACTTTGATATTCTTTTATCGGTGGTATCACCTCTGATAACAAACAAGGTATACAAAAGTCAATCACCTACTGAGTGCAAATGGAAAAATCGCACGAATCTAAAAATGTGAATAATCTCATCGTTTGTCACTTTAGTTTTATATGATGACAGTCATCTTTTTCTTGAAAGAAAAAAACATTAAATTTTGAATTATTTTCGAGCAATACTCCTGTTCCTCTTCCTTGTTTTGACGCCATCAAGCATGTCAAATTATATCTGTTGGATCGTTTCATTTCCGTCTCGCCAATCATCGGCGCAGGGGACATCTTCAAACAGAAATAAAAAGAATTTTCAATGTTCTTTTTTTCGTTTTCTCTCTGTCTCTCTCTCTCTCTTTCTTATACATATTTCGCATAGACCAATCATTGGCGTCAACCACCTACTGAGTATACAATAACGAGAGAAAAGATTGAAAACGAAAAAAAAAATATGGTCAACCATCCCACTATTTTGTGACTAGAGACAAATTGTGCATTCTCACAAACAGAGACATATACACAAATAAAAATGTTTCCCAATCATTATTCACCATCAAATCCTTATGTTGATTTTTCATCATATAATACAACTCCATCAACTTCAAACATAACTAGTATTGGTAATTCTTCATCACCACCACTTTATCATCAACATCAACATATGTTCTCAACAACACATTTTTCAAATGATAAACTTCAACACTCACCAACAGGTTATCCAACATTTGCTATGCATGGTTTAAATATGAATGTTAACGTTACAATGAGTCCTGTTTATGTACCAACAAATAATCTATCAATTCCTCAATCATCACCATCAGTTCCATTAAAATCTTTTTATTCTCCTAATGAAAATGGAACGAATTCATTGGAAGGTAAGTAATCGCGATTATTTCCAACTGCGTATATATATATATATATATGTGTGTGTGTGCCAATGAAAATGATCGTTTGTCATGAGAGGTGCTAAAATATTATTCATGTGAATACTGATAACAAAAAGAAAAGTACAATTCATATATGAAAGATAAGTCGAACAATTTTCTGTAACATCATTAGTTAAGAATTTGAGTTTTCTATTCATCATCGAAAATAAGGAATCAAATTTAACAATAGAAACATTACGATAAATATTTCAATATTATTTAATTATTGATTAAAAACAAGATGTTTTTCATCTTAAAAAAGACTTCAAAAACAAACTTTAATCTATTCATTGATCTTTTATCTATCAACCTTTTTCTTTTTCTTTTCAAAGATCGATTGATAATGATCGATCATAAACAAACCGAGTTAATTTATCGCATTCGATCTAAATGCCAATAGCGAAAATTAAATTTTTGTCATACTCATAGTTATTTTTATTTATTTATTTTAATAGAAAAATCACTCAGCACGGTAGTATTAAATGGTAATGAAACTCTTCCACCACCACCACCACCACCAACACTTTCATTACCTAAAATGACAGCGAAAGGAAAGAAGATTCGCAAACCACGTACAATTTATAATCCACTTCAATTACAAGCATTAAATAAACGTTTTCATCGTACACAATATTTAGCATTGCCTGAACGAGCTGAATTAGCAGCTATGCTTGCTCTAACACAAACTCAGGTGAGTTTTATGTATGTTAATTTGACACATCGAAGGTCATATGTATAGCCTAAAGCATGACATATTTTATTGTCTTTTTTTTTCTCTATGTATAAAAATGATGAATCGAAGATCATCATTCATGATGTCCATCTTCGAGCAAATGTCTGTCTTTCGCATATGACTTAGGATAAGGAAAAAGCAACAGAATGTCATTGATTTTTATGAGTGATTTGCGCAATTATATTCGTTGATAGTTTCGTTGCAGAAAACGAGTCACGAGAAAAAAAAAAAAGAAGGCGGGATGCATTATCGGCTAGCTCAAATTGTATGTATATATAAATTCAAAGACGCATCAGCGGGGAGCTCAGCATTGCGTGAACAATCGAAAGACGAGGGCAAATGGTCGGCATGTTTGAAGAAAAGCGAGAAAAAAAAAGTTCTTATCTGAAATGACAACGCCCACTGTGGATACTACGAAATAAGATCATATTCATTCATGTGTAGACTATTTTTGAAGTCAAATCATTTTGACATTATATCTAAAATAGTTTCTTTTGCTTTTATTATTTTGTTTTTTTTTCTATACAAAAATCAAATAAACTTAAGTTTCCGTCTTGAAGTTTTTTTTTTTTTTGAAAGAGAATACTGGACTGATTTCTATATGTTTCACAGTCGGATAGAAAAAGTAAAAATGGGCGTTTCTTCTTAAACACAAAGACATTTTCTCTTTATATACAAATCACGCACGCATTGATGCTTTGTTCCCTTTTTTTTTCTCGCTTTATGCTCACAAGACAACCTGTTATTAGAAATACACATTGTGAAAGAATATAGACAGGTAAAAAGATGTATATTGATGTGATGGTCAGTATAAACCCTGCGGGTATATTCGTTGTAAGATCTATGTGTGACATCTCTCCACCCTTTGCCTCCCATACATACATATACATTCTACATTGATGGGACAAGGACAATACATGATGACCGATACGCCCTTCACACACAAAATATAGTCGATAGAGATACATATATGAAAAACTATCTATAAGGAAAAGAAATGCTTGACTAAATCGATGTATGATGATAGATAAAAGTTACGGTTATTCTTTTCTTTTTTATTTGTTGATATTTGATTAAGATGGTTAACTAAACTGATTGTTTTTTTTTTGTCTTTTTTTTTGAAGGTCAAAATATGGTTTCAAGTAAGTAAAAATATTTCTATGATTATTCTATATAGATTAGTTTTTTTATTTATTTCTTAGAATAAACGTTCAAAAGAAAAAAAAGCTAACAGACAAAGTAATCGAAGTCGTCCATCAAATGATAATGATTTGAGTTGTAATGGTGAAGAAATCTATTCTGATGATGAGACAAGTTCAACATCAACTAATAATAATGATTCATCTTTACATGCTACACAATCATTAGCACCTGCATGTGAAAGTAAAGATGTTGATGTGACTACAACTAATCAAGCAATGATCAAATCATCACCTAATATCTATGAACAGTCGTCACCACCTTCTCTAACATCTTCTGCAATGATGTCAACAACAACAACTTCACCACCATCTTATCCTGCAAATGATTTTCTTCGTTCAAATTCAATGTATTTTGATTATGGATCAATGAATGGTTTTTGGCCACCACATTTATATGATGCAAATCATAATACGAATGGATATTATCAACAACATCCACCAACGATTCATACTTAATAAAACTTGATTTCTTAAAATGTTGTATTATCCGACTTGTATATCGATTTACTTTTGCTTCGAAAATAAAACTTGTATTGAATGCTTAAGAACAAAAACAAAAACTTTCCTCAATCAATTTTGTTTCATTCATTTTTATTTATCCAAACAAATAGTTTTAGATGTATTTTATCAACATTCATCATGTGCTTTGAGGTTTCTTATATCCTGATCACTCATATTATCATCATAATCTATATAAGATTCTCAGTTTTCGTAACTAGGAAGAATAGATTTAATTGTTGGACGACCATTAGATAAAGAAAGTATCATGTCGATAATAATACATTCTTGACCTTTTGAATAAAATATAGATGTTTATTATTGAAAAATTAATAGTCTTTGAGATTATTTACCATAATTATAAACTTCATTAATTGTATTACCTTGATTTCGAGCAAATTTATAGAAATTATGTACTTGACCTATAAAAAAAATCAAGTTATATTTAAACAGATGTTTCATTAAACAGTTTTCGTTTTACTGCTTTGAATATTTTCATCATAGACACATAATTTACATCTGTATTACGATAAATACAAGTCTGTTCATGAGCAAAGTCAATTGCATGTAACAACTCATGTAATGCTACCCAATGTTGAATACAACTACGAATTTGAATTGAACGATCTTGACCACTACTATGCACAATTTTACTTATATGTGATCAACATCTACATTTATTTATTTGTTTTATCTTTATCTTCTAAATAAAACGTACATTTAGTTTTCTTATCCTTGATCAAAATGAATTCTTAACGAAACTGGATTATTATTTCGCCAGGCAAACCCTATACAGTCATTCGTATATTTTGACTAATTGCAGTCATAGTACTAACGATAACATTCTTATGATCATTTGTATGTGTGGCATCAAATTCAACAGATGATTGGGCTATTTTAGAGCTTGAATGTGTGCATTTCGACTATTGCTTATTGGTATTGCAATATCGCCTTCTATCTATTCGACATCAGTCCGATTATTCTCTAACAAATCAGGCAGATTAAATAAACTAGGACTATTTTCTGAATTCTGCTCACGTATTACGTTTGCATTATACGAGAAAAAGAATACAGATAAAAACAATTTAATATAACGAAATATTATTAACAAGATACTCTTCTGATTATGGAGAAAGAGACAACGTGCATATATATATATAGGCAATAGTCTATTAGTTTTGCCGAAAATAGCATGAAAATATAGAATAACGGAGATCAAAATAATATTCTAGAAAACTATATAATGTAGATCTTCCTGCATAAAAGAAATGATGTAAATCAGAACTGATAAATTCAAATTTAATTCATTCTGTCATCCGTTTCCACATTTATATATATCTTTGTGTGATTACAAAGGAATTAAGAAAAATTAGGTTTTTTTTTATATTTTCAATGATGCTCGTTTTTTTTATAAATTAGACAACGTATTCATAACCAACTCTTCGAAAGTACGACATTTTTTCTGCAGATGTTCGTCTCTTGGTTGAAACAAAACAAAAGAAAAACTATTTATTGACTTACCTTTCAAAATGACATTAATATGAGGATATTTTAGAAGTTTTAGTATTTTATTCTTCGTAGAATTGAAGTAGTAGAATATAATGAGAGAAATACCACATGAAAAAACTTCATAATATATTGATTGGACTAGTGGTATTTATTTGATACTATGAAGAAAAAAGTATAAAAGCTACCGTATATATTAATTAATGACACATAAATCAATATATCAACTTTTGTTTTAAGGACTGCATATACAAAATACTTCTTCGCAAAATCATTTTAAATAAACCTAGTGGGTTTTAGGCAATTTACTGTTCATGTTTAGAAAATAAAGTGAAAAAAATATCTTGCTAATAATCACGGATCACCGGGATGAACTACTCGAACTTTTATTTCATAGCAGAAAAAATTCCCGCTTCAATAAATGGATCGAAGAAAAGTGGTGCAGTTATTAACAAAATCCCTATTGTCCACATCCATCCCAATAATTTTCCTTTGAAAGTATTTGGCTTGACTGGCATCTTCATAGTTATTTCTAATAAAACTAAAAGACCATGTAATGAAAAGAAAATCATGTTTTTACCAGACCATGTACTTGAGACAAACCAAAATGTGTATTCATGCAGAAAACCTGATAAAAAAAAAGCGAAGAGACCTTTTGCTTTTTTGTTCATTGACACTATTGGATCGATTAGTTTTGGAACAACAACAAAAGAAATAATTTGCAACGAGGTTTTTACAAGATTATTCCAACGATATGACCAAAAGTCTCGAAGACTCGTAGCAGTGAAAGGAAACACAGGATATACACGATTGATTGGAAGATTAAAAACGATAGTATAAATGCCAAAACCGATACCAGTAGCACCATCAATTGACAGATATAGAAGAACACTCAATAACACATAACGAAGGAAACGGAATATTGGAAAAAATGATGATGAAGAAAGTGAAAGCCATTCAAGAGGTATTAAGTAAAGAAGTATTCGAAAAATAATACATTGAAAAATACTTCGTAAAATTAACAAGATACCTTCTCGACGTACATATTGTTTTGATAACCCTGCTAACTTTGCTTCAGATTCTGGCATTCGTGGAAGGGCAAGTAAATATAAAGCTAGCAGTTTTAATGGCATTCGTCGAGTATATGTCCATTTATAAGCAAATGCTAATTCAAGAAGTTTGAAAACTGTCAACATACTAAGTCCACTAAAGGAAAAAGCCAATAGAGTGTTAAGAAGAAACCATGACGATTTCAATTTCAAGAAAACATATATAAATAATAAACTGATAGAACTAACAATTGAATTCAATTGAAAAGGACATGGTGAATTAAAATATTTACTAATACTAAGACTAACAAGGCACATAATAAATACACAAGCATAGGATATACACAGAATAACTAAGGTACTTTCGACCATATTGATGATGTGACAAAAACAATTGAAGAAACTTTTATCGTACTTGATGTTGTACTGATAAGTGTTTGAAAAGACGTAAAATTTAAAAAAAAAGCATATAATTGTGCGCAACAGAAAAGATAAAGAGACCACGCGTGTAGGAAAATTATTCTTTTTCGCATTTCGAAGAGTAAAGGAGATATCTATTGATCAAACATTGACGTTGATTAAAATAAATCTATGTATGTAGAACTTTTATCGTATTAAAAAATAAATAATTATTTTTCAATGGAAAGACTCATGATAATTAATATCTCTTGATTGTAAAATTGATATAAAATCAAAAACTGAATTACTCAACAAATAAATGTTACGAACATGAAAAACTTGATTACAGTATTATTAATGTTTAAAATAAAAGAAAGAACCAAAAATAAAATACTAGACAATGTAATACTATGCGTGTAACGATGGAGTAAAGCTTGAATCCAAAATGGTTTTAAATCGGGTTTTGTATCTGGTTTTCCTTATCTATTTTTCGATAGAATATTGAAATTTCTAGAGTCATGGCTAATTCTGTAGATTTCTTGCCCAATAATGTATGCATGCTTTTTAGAACAAATAACTTTAGCTTTCATATTCACAATAAAAAAAATGCGTCACATAATTCATATTTCTTTCATGATATTATACTTTGCATCAAGTAATTAATAATAAACTTTACAGAAAACAAAAAATTGGAAACATACAAAAACAACATAGATAAATCAATATTTTCTTGTTGTTATCCAATATTAGACCTCATCATTTTTAGTATTTGGTATCGTTTCTGAACACTCTTGAGCGTTCATTTCTGTTGGTCCATCAATTTCTTTTACAGAATACCATTTATGAATTGGAAGTGCTTGTAATCGACGCATCATGCGCCAAGAAAATGATAACCAAACAATGCCAATTATAGTACAACCGGCTACTTCAATTGAGTATGCATGTTGCTTCGGTAGCCAACTTGCTACTAGAAGAACGGCATGAGACGATACAATCTGACCAATATTACCAAGAGTGCTTACTAATGTCATATATGTTCCACCAATACGTGGTTCACTAATTTGAGCATAGAAACCAACTCGAGCAACGAGTTGTAAATAAATAATTGTTTCGTTTATCACGAATAAAGTCATCAGAATTGGATAGAATATATACGGAAATTTGACAAGTGGAGAAGTAAAGTAAATATAAATACCAATTAATACACAAATAAATAGCCGAGGTAGATATAATCGAGCAAACCAAATTAAAGGTCGCTGAGTTTGAGAAAGAATGATTGGTACAATAATTTTGACTAAAACCAATGGCATTGTAACAAGACCAAGAGTTTCACGTGACATTCCATTACTAGAATAGAATACAGATTACGTAACTTTTAAAAACTGAGAAAGTTTTAACATTATTCTGTTTATTAACAACGTCATATTCTTGAAAATTTTTCTATGTAATGTTTTTCGTAAAAATCTTCTTACCTAACTAAAGCAATATTAGTCATAAAATAGGTTGCAGCATAACCAAAAGGAGAAATAATAAGAATAAATACTAATTCTAACATACATTTCTTCTTGAATAATTTGATAATAGATAAATATGTTTCAATGAGTTTTAATTTTTCGTTGTCATCATTTTGATTTGATGTTCGTTCACGAAATAGAAATGCTATAATACAAGTAACAAACAGAAAACTTATGCCCCAGAAACGTATAAATTCGGCTAGTGTGAATAATCCAGTATTGTGCGTTTGAAGTGATAATGGTGCACGAATGTAACGATTGGTAAAATTAGCTGATTCAAATGTTAGAAGAAATGATGATCCAAGAAAACGTCCAAGAGTTTGTCCAATAGTTTGTGAAGTTGATTGCCAAACAACATTTGATGTTGAAAAAAGTGCAAGAGCCCATCCATCGACACATACATCTTGGCTAGCAGTAAAAAATACAATGAAGAATAAGAAGATTGTCAGTGAAACAATGCGTAAATTATCAATCCATGAATCAATATAGAATGATAGAATAATCAGAATTATACCAAGTCCTAATTGTATGGGTAAAAGCCATGTTTGACGTCTTCCAAAACGTCGAATATAAAAAACATCAATTACTGGTGCCCAAATCAATTTAAAACTAAAGGGATAATGAACAAAATTATAGGTACTTTGTTGTCTCCATGTAGCACCTGCTGATGTTAAATAAATAGGAATCGAAGTAGATAAACCGAGAACAACCCCTTGTAAAAGATAAAGAACAAGTGTGACGAAAATGCTCGTAATTGGAGCACTGATGAACATCTAGAAAAAGAAAAAAAGAAAGAACAGCTGAACTTAAACGTTGTAAAAGAACAATAACATATATAAGATTCTGAATTTTATAACGAAAAAAAATTCTCGGGAAAAAAAAATTTAAGAAAATTTGACAGATCATACATACATTTCTTCCAATGCTTGTCTATTGTCTAACTAGCTTATTTATATACTTCTATCAAATGTGATCTGTTCAATAAAATGTTGACATGACAAATTTTCAGTAACAAATTGACTGAAACAAATTGAACATGATAAAATGGTCTAAACAGTTAAAAAGTTTTGACAATAAAAAAAAATTTCCTGTATTGAAAGATAGATATGGATATTTTTTTTTTCTATTTCTTTTTTTTTTGTGAAAGACTTTGAAAAAAAGTACGTATGTAACGAACTATGTAGAGCAAATGATCTGATCGTTAAAAATGAATGCATTAAGTAAGATAGGAGAAAGGTGTTGGCATTTGTTCGATAAAAAAATGTCATAAACAATATGAAAGTATTCTACTAAATTCTTGTTTATTCTATGAAATTCACAACAAAATACATACACAGATGGTCTAATTTCGGCATTTTGATATTTCATGTCGAATATAATAGAATGCAAGTAGGAAAATGTAATTCAAAGCTGTTAGTTAGATGTTACTACATATAATTTTTTCATTCGTATGTTAATAAATAATATTGAGAGCAATCATCGTATCTTTTCTTTTTATACAGACGATATTCCATAGTATTCAGTAAAAAAAAAGACGTGACTATATGTAGATCTTTTCTCATCAGATAAAAGTATTAATCTTTTTAATTCTTACATATATCAAAGATAAGAGATGACATTTTAAAATTTAGTTTCAGTCTTTGTTGGTTTTAATAATTATTCCCGAAAAAACAACAGATGCACAAGTCTGCAAGCACTCTCGGTTAAAGTACGAACAACATTATTAATCCAATTATTACGTGTCAAAGTATTGCAAGTGCAAATATTAATGACTATTTATTTAACACTTACTTAAAGTTTAAATATGTAGAGCGAGTTTTTTGTTGAGACCAAAACAAAACTATTAAATATTATAGAGATTATATAAAACAAAGATATGATCAATAATCAGTTTTAGGATTTTTATGAGAATTTCTATTGAGTATAATTTTTATCACAAGAATTTAAACTATTGCAACATGATTAACAATGAACATGAGACAATTTCGTGTAATTTTCGTAGGCAATCAATGAGATCTTTATATTTAAATTGATGGATTGATTTTAGATTTGTTACGGGATTTCAGCGCAATTAGTTTCTATATTTCTCGATTTTAATAGGCATTTGCAAGTAATTCAATTAGGTGAAAATTAACATTTTCTTAACTTCTTAATTGTTAATTTGTTTCTTTTAAACTGAACACTAAACGTTTTTAAATTTCAAAACGTTTAAGAAGACCACAAAAATTTTCTTGACAAATACATTTAATAATTTCATTTGCACTACCAAGTAGTGCTATTACAACAGCTACTTGAAAATCAAAAGAGTTTTATTGTTCTTTTTTATGTATGTATAATTTACTGAATACTTGTCTGTCTGACTATTTTCTAGAAAGGAACGAAAATAGTACAGTAAATTGAGAAACAACTGACATTTGATGAATGATGTTCAAGAAGAACAGCTATATTGAACATAAAAATGTTATCTTTGATCAAGAAAACGATAAGCAATGTGCAATCTCAGTACCGATAAAGAGAATCACAATTAGTAGAAGATGGTAAAATCGATATAAAGTGCAATGAACATATCTAGGCATGCAACAAATCTAGAAGATATGTAGGATTTGGGACCAAGAGCCTGGAAACTTAATTTATATTTGAAATTTTAGTTTCGATTTACTTATAAATCAAATCCACATGAATAGTTTGCTATTTGATGACCATTATCAAAACGCAAACTATTCATACTATTTTTTCCAACACCAAATCCAAATCTAAATATGGAGGATTCGATCCCAGATCCCGAAAACTTTTATGTTTGTATTGTATCTCTCTAATAAAGTAGGTCGTCGGTGATATGACCTTATCTTACCAAATTCGTTGTGGTTTGGATTATTTGAAACCAAATCTAAACTCAAACTCAAATCTAATCCCAATCTTTTTTTAAATCCAAACTAAATAAAACCAAATCGCAAAATTTTAGGTTTATTGCACTCCTAAACGCAGTAGGATTAAGGATTTGTAGTCTGTATTTCTTCATGAAGGTTACTTTGGTATAATACTACGTCAACAATAGGTAAGGGTTTAAACTAACAGATAAAATCTGTGATTCTATTGGCTAGTGCATTTGACACAGTCAATGGATGTTCTAGTAAGTTTTCTGAATACAATCTGTACAAGGTAAGAGTAATTGATTAAACACTTTCAAATTTGTAATAATGAACACAAAAATTTCGATTGGTCATGTAGATCATA